GTTGATTAAACACACATTTGAATACAGTCCATATTTTTGGCTGTGTCTTTAGATTGTAGAATGTATGTTCTCTGAACACACAGCTGGAAGAAGAGAGTGTTTACCTAGATTTCCTCTTAGAGAGAAGAAACACTGACAGAAACTTGTACAGTCTCCATTTACTTCAGCCAGTCACCACTATTTGTGATATTAGCTGAAATCATTCCAGTTAGAAAGCTGGAATGCATGCACATTGCTTAACTTGATTTTTGTAATTTGGTTATGATGTGTAAGTCTCCGTTCTACAGAGGCATTTTTGCTCAAATGAATCGATTTCTAATCATGGTTTGAGTTCCTTCCAAGCTTTATGTAACCTGATTTTTTTCTAAAAATCTTTTTCTTTTCTCATGACCATTAAAAGGCAACAAATTATTTCAGAAGAACTAAAAGAAACATTTGATCAGTTAGCTATACTGGGCCATTATCTTTATTTTTTAAGAAAAGATTTGCTTCAGAGTTTTCACAAGTAAGACTAAAATATTTCAGAAAAATATATGAAATGTTCATTATCTGTCATTTTCCAATTTTCTACAGGAAAAAAAATTCACAAATGAAAACCAAGTATGACTTAACAACTTACTGCATAAATTCATTTCCAAAGAATCTGGAAATTATTGAAAGAATAATGACATATAATCTTGGAAAGTTCTATGCTTGTCTTACAAATTTGAGGTCTGTAAACTGTTAAGTGAAGTTTAAATCAAATCTAGCTCAGTGAGCTCCTTGAAAAAACCTGACATTGTAACTCAGTTGATCTGTGGTCAGATCTGTTTCTTCATCCCAAAGGGGGAAAATTTGCATACACATACTCATAGTTTGCTTTAATTACACACTGATCAAATTCTCTACCCTTAATTTTTAAAATGCAAAACAAGTAATACATTTTTTTATTTGGGGAGGAGAATTCATATTGCCATGTATATTTCATGTTTTCCAAATATTTCAAAAGTCTAAAATTCAGGGTTTTTGTTGGTTTGCAGTTTTTAGTAAATTACCAAAAAGAAGAGGGAGGATGTGGAACTTGAATCTTTAGATTTTGTGTTTAGGAAGGGAGCAGCCAAGAACATACCTGCTTTTGGCACTGGCTTGGGCATCTTTGGTTTTGGAATAGCAAATGCCAGGTGTCATCTTGGAAGTGTCAAGAGATACATCAATCGAAAACAGAGACTCACACTGAAACAGTGTTTTTTTTTTTCTTTCAAGAAATCTAACTGAATTTATGGTCCACATAAATATGATACAATAAAATGTTAGGAGTTGTGTTTTTCCATGTCATACTCTGGGATTATTTTTAACAATAGCAGTGAAGTATTTACTTTTTTCCCAGGTGGAAATTAACGTGGAAGAATGACTACATACATCCTAAGGGTCATTTCATTTTCAATTTGTAATGAAATGCCAAGTATTTTTAAAAAGAGAATACTTAAATTCTGGAGGAGTCTGATTTTTAAATCAGTTTTGAAAGCAAATATTTGGTATAGTTTAGTTTTTAACTATTGAACTGCACTGTGGGTTCTACTAAATAAGTGAACCAACAGGAGAATAAATTATGTTCTTCTGAATAACCATTCCAAAATAAATGTTTTGAGGTTCTAGAAATTATTTCAAAGTTACTGAGTTAGTTGAGCGATTGTGGGTTATGCTTGTCTGTGACCCAATACAAGTGACTATAGAATGCACTTTCTTCCTAGTGATGGCAAATGACTCTAGCAAATTTCAGTCCTTTACAGGCTGTTTCCTGAGTGCATGGCTCTCCAAAGCAAGACCTGACAAGACAGGGAGTAAAAAAGAAGAAAAAAAACTAAAATAAAAAGTGGAAGACAACACTGCATGGTCACTAGAATCAACTTCCTTCTCACTGGGAACTAAAGAAGGGAGATTAAAATAATTAGACTGCAAATTATGTGAAATTCACACACTGCTCCTATGCTCTCTGATAATTCAGACAAGATCATTCCATTTCCAGTATCTGTTTACCCATCGTATCAATATAAAAATACATTTTGTTCTAATAATGATGCTAATAAAAACACATTTGGTTTTTAGAGTCAAAATTATCACCTCTTGATTGGCTAAATAAAAATGGATATAGAAATCAACAAAAGAGAACAAGTACAGATGCTCTTTATTTCTTCCTTTCTTGCTTTCATTGCAAATAATTTAAGTTTTAAAATATGTTTTTCTCTCACCGCATGTAGAATCTGGTGGATAAATCTAAGTGAGAAAGCTAAAATCTGAATGGCCAGACCATGACGCCAACTGAAAAAGTCTCTACATTAAGTTATCTGAAGCCTGACCCTCGCCTGGTATTGGCAAACTCATGACATTAGTCTTTTCTCTGTAACAATCATACTTTACCACATGAATGTTAAATAAGAGCCTGGATAAATAAACTTGGGGGGATAGTTTTCAATTATATATTTTGCTACATCTTCAGAGATAAAAGCTGTATCTGCAAGTGATTAAAAGATGTTTTATATTCATGGTTTCATTTCTGTTCAAATAAATGCGTAATTTAAACCACACATAATTCATAGCAATTTAGGCCCATTACAGAGTTCTAGCTTCTTTTTATGATAGTTACTAATTAAAACAGAGTGTTACTGCCATGCTGAGCCTAAGTCTTTGACATAAAGGTTTAATGAATAAAACATCCTGACACAAAAATGAAAACAATAATACAGACAAAGCTGCAAGCTGTTATGCTTAAGTGTGTTACAGATTAAGGACATTCAGTAAAGTTAAGAACTGTGCAGAGAAGGAACTTGCAATGTCTTTCTTTACAGGAAGAAGAAACTGCAAATAGCACTAATTTTTCTTAACTTCTGGGCACCTCACTTTCAGCTGTACCCCTCTCACTCCTCCCCTGGCAAAGAGTTTAAACTCCTAAGAGTCACTTTTAGAGAAAAATGATTGGATATTTTAATATAATGATGAATATAGGTTTAGATTGAAAATGGGATTTGGGACCATAATTAATTATGTTGCCACGTTTTTTAAACTTTAAAGAAGTGTGAAGTAAATGACATCTCTCAAGACTGCAACCTTCTAAAAGTCCATGGATTGAAACTTTGGTAAAATGACAGTATGTTTTTGACATCTGATTAATCCCAGATGCAGCAAGAGTGTAAAGAATTAATACGGTTGTGATGTTTTCACTTTCTGAAACCACTGTAATAAAAGACTGACATAAAATCAAACCAAGTGTAAACACAGCCCTTAGCTAGGGTTACGACCTTATTATCAGTCTTAATAAACAGAAATGAATAATAATAAATACGATCGCCCTCAGTACACTCTGATCTATATAACTATTCCCTGTTGCATCCATTCATCACTTCTTTCAGGATAATAAAACAATTCAATCCCATCAAATCCTCAACAACCGCTCCCGGCCAGAGGGAGGGATGTTTTATCTCCATTTCTGCGAAGCCCAGGGAGGATTTTCCTAGTTTGAAGGGGGCGGAGAATGGAGCGGAGTCCTATTTATTTCCATTGCTGACTCCCAAGGTTCTCACAGGCGCTCAGGGACCGGGTGGGAGGAGGAGAAGGGGAGGTGCGGAGATTCCCTCCTTCGGAAAAGAAAAAGGGTTCAGGAAGCGAGGCAGGAGGAGGAGGGGTAGAGGGGGAAAGAGGCGGTAGTGTGTTTGGGGAGGTCAGCAACTAAAAGAAAAAATAAATTCTTCCTTGTGATTTAACGGACTGAAGAGATGAGAAGTAAACAAATTTGCCAACCCAACTAAGTTGCTAAAAGAACTCTGCAAAAATCAAAACCAGAGACGTTCGCTCAGGTTCATTTCCCGCTCAAGGGCTTGGTTTCAGGGAGCTACGCATTCCCAGAGCAGGGGATGGACAGCGCCCTGAATGGGGGCCTGAGGGGAACCGCAACCTGGCGGGAGGGACAGCTAAACACCCGCACAGAGATGCCCACCGCAAACTCCGAGCGCCTCGGCGACCCCCGCGGAGCTGGTGCTGGGGACTGCGGGTGATTGTAACACCTCGGCCTGGGGCGGGGTGCGGGGAGGAGTGGGAACGAAGGGCGCACAATGAAACGCCGCCTCACCCCAAATTCGGCAGTTTGCAAGGTGCCCCCAAAGAACAGCCGGGACTTGAAACGACGCTTGGGCCTCCGGAGTGTCGGGAACGTACAGTCTCTTAGCTCAACAAGAAAGGTGGCGCAGGCCAAAATGAACCCCGACTCAGGCACAGACGGGGAGAGGTCACGGCACCTGGTCACCAGGCTGGGGCAGGAGGGGTGTCTCCTCGGTGACGCTCCTGGCGAAAGTATGAGCCGGTCCCTGGCCACCCTGCTCAAGAAAGTTTCTCCACCGACTCTAGTCTATCACACGCAGGACAAATGAGCGGGGGCGGCGAAGGGTCGCCAGGGGAGGCCGTGCGAGATCCCGGCCACCGCTGTGCGCTCCGCGCCCTACGCCGGGAACCCGCGTTGGATTTCACTGCGCATGAGCCCCGCACGCTGCGTGGATCCCTCGTTTCTCGCCCCCGCATAAGACCCCTGTCCCTCAGACTTTGTTTGGCGGCCGCCGGAGGGCATGAATCCCGAGAGGGAGGCAACAGCCCACCCTGGAGGAGGGCAAAGTACGCGCCCAAGCGGAGTAAAGGAGAAAAGCCCTGAGGCTGCACGGTCTCCGCCGCACCCCCGGGTACCGGGCTCCCCCATTTCCCGGGCGATGCACTGCCTCCACCTCCTAACACCACTGAGGCCACCCAGTCACGAGTCAGCCTGAGAAACCGAGGGAGACTTCCACTCCCCTCATGCTCTCAGCTACCCTGGATGCAGCGCCCTCGGTGACCTTGCTGTCCCCTTCCTAGTTTGGGGACCTGCGTCTCCACCCCAAATCGCGGATGAGCCCTAGGGTAGGAACGCCGTTGTGCCAAGTCCCAGGCTGGCAGGCTGCGGCGTCGGGGAGTCGGAGGATGTCTTTCCTCTGACTACTTACCTTAAAAAAAAATCGGTTTGTTTTTCCTAGGGGGAAGAGGAAAGAGCTCTCCTCGAGGTGTGCTGTGCGAAGCAGTTCACGTCCCTGGCTCGGGCCAAGATGCCGAGCACCAGTATCCAGGACTCGAGGGGACGGGAAGGGTGAGACAGAGGCAGATAAAGGAGAAAAATGCAATCCGCCCAAATGTCCCAACTTTGCGGTCGGCACAGCAAACTTCAAAGGCAGGCGGCTAGCGGCCGCTGAAGTTGATGCGAAGTGGAGCGGAGGGGGGCAGCGCCGGGCTGGGGGATCCCGGGGCCGAGAGGGGAGGCAGCGGGAGGTCCTTTTAAACAGGGGGGACCGTGCGTGCGCCGGGCGGCGGGAGGTTGCTTCGGCGCCGAGTGGAGCTGGCGCAGGCTCCCCGGGCTAGGCTAGCGGCACGGGCCGGGCTGGAGCGCCGCGCGGGCAGAGCAGGCGCACGGGGCGGCAGCGGCGGCAGCGGCTGGTGCGCGGCTCAGTTTGGTCTGCGCTCTCGCGGCTCTGAGCCGGGAGTGTGAGTTCGCTCCCCAGTGTCACTGCTCAAGCCGGGAGCCTCTTCCCCTCCCGCCCCACCGCTGCCCGCCCGCCCCTTCCCTCCTCTGCCCGCTGCCCCCCCCTCCGTCCCTCTTTCCCTCCCTCCCGCTGCGCGCCAGCGTGCGCACACAGACACACACACACACACACACACACACACACACACACACTCCTCTCTCTCTCTCTCTCTCTCTCTCTCTCTCGCTCTCTCTCTCTCTCTCTCTCTCTCTCTCGCTCTCTCTCTCTGTCTCTCTATCTCACACACACACACACACACACCGCCCAGAGACCCGGGGCTCCTCAAACAGGACCCTCGCCGGCGGCATCGCCGGGGACACATTGCTGTCTCTATCTCCCCGCCACCGGCGGGGAAGAAGAAGGAGGCCTAGTGGGACCTTGGCAAAGCTGCAAAAACCCGGCGAGACGCGCACGCGGGACCATCACAGTGTCCAGGAGACGGGGGTGCACAATAGAGGACAATTCCGGGGCTGATTTGGAGGCGGGGTAGGGAGACGTGTTGAATCCAGAAGGCTGGAGGTTGGAGGCGGGAAGCAGAATGTGCAAACTGTGCATTCATGTCCCACTTTTCACCCGAGCGCCTGCCTACCACAGACTTCGCTCCGGGACCGCTTCCCCCTCGGCGCAAGGCAAGCCTCCTCCGGTTTGAAACTCAGCAGCTGTTTTAACAATTGAAAAGCGGCCCTACAGGACCAGTGAGACTGAGCCGTGTGTGTGAAGCCATTAGGGCTGACTAGGTAATTATGATAAGAAGCTACCTAATTAGCAAACTGGCCAGAGCATAGGAAGATGAGGAAGGAAAAAAAAAAAAGTGCCCAGTGATTTACTGATCTCATTTTCTCAGTTGTGAGCCTGGTTTCCAGCAAACCTGGTTTTAAGACTTTGGTTTCTAGAGTGCTGAGTTCTAAGACTATAGTGTAAAGTATTTATTTATTAAGATAACAGTGTCAACATTGGTCACATGCAAACAACTTGCCTTCTCATTGAATCACCAAAATGAAGATAAATAAGGTGGAAATCAACCTTACTGAGATCATGTTAAGAACTGCGATCTTTTCATTAAATACGTTTAAATACCTCCTCACTGGATGACAGTCCAATGAAGCTTTGTGGCACTAGATGAGAATGTTGTCATATGTGGATTTATGAAACCATTTATATGCCACGAAGTTGCTTTGTAAAAGCCATAGCACTTTTGCTAAAAGGGACATTTGAGATCACTGTGCAGCTGATTTTTTGCATATGAGAAGATGAGGTGGGGAAAAAAATTTAGAGATGTGACCTCTGCACTTGCGACATATGACCCAGGGCATGTCATGCAGGCATTCATTAACCAGCACTTATTAAACTCTTACTATGTACTATGTGCCAGATATGTCTCAGGTGCTAAGATTTAAAGCTAAGACATAGCATCCACCTTTAAGGAACTCACAGCCTGGCAGATATAAATGGGAGGCAGGTATAAATGACAATGTGATTAGCCAACATGGGTGGCTCATGCCTGTAATCCTAGCTACTGAGGAGGCAGACATCAAGAAGATCAGGGTTTGAAGCCAGCTGGGGCAAACAGTTAGGAAGGCCCTGTCTGGGGGGAAGTGGGGGAGGAACCTTCACAGAAAAGAGCTGGAGGAATGGCTCCAAGTATAGGCCCTAAATTCAAGCCCTAGTATTAAAAAAAAGAAAGAAAGAAAATGTGATTAGCACTGTAATAAATCTGTACCTGATCCTGAGGGAACCTGACAAAAGCAACAGCTAATTCCCCTTTAGGAGGTGCTCAGGGTAAGGACTTCATTGTAGAGCTCTGAAGGACAAAGAAGCCAAGGTCAGGCAGACAAGGACTGGGGAGGGAAAGGGGAAGGGCATTCCACAAACAAAGAAGTAAGAGAAGAGGTTAGGAAAGGGTCAAAATACATGGTGTGTCTTGGGAACCTGGAGAAGATAGGTGTGGCTGGATTGCTGGTGAGGTAAGCAAGGCCAGGCTGCAGCAGGCTCCAAGGCCCAGGGAGACAGAACTTTCCTAAACTTTTAAAGGTTTCAAGCAAGGACAGATCTTAAGGTTCTTAAGTGTCATCATATATGTGTTTTAGAAAGTTTTCTTTGATAACTGTGAAGACGAGAGACATAATTATTTCTGGAGAAAAAAAAAATTAGGTCTTAGGGAAAGAAGGCAGCAGAAGTGCCATTTGGGAGTCTGAGACACTTCCAGAGCTGTTTAGGAAATTGAATAGACAAGACTTAGTGCTTGATGGAATGTGGAGGGGAATAGAGAGGAGGAGGAGTCTAGACTGACTCCCAGTTTTCTGGCTGGGGCAACAAGGCAGGAGAAGGTGCTGGTAGCCAAGAGAAACAACACAGAGACAGGGCAGATTTAAGAGAAATGTAATGACTTCTGTATTGAGTTGGGGATGCCTGTGTGATATCAGAGTGCAGCTGCTGTGTGGGCAGCCAAAAGGGGAGTCCTGGAGGGAGAAGCAGAGCTGGAAGGATACATCAGGAGTCATCAGCATTCAGATGTTTTCCAAAGCCAGGGAGAGGAGGAAGGCAGCCAGGTAGAGGAGCCTAGGAATGGACAGGATGGAACACTGTAGGACAACAATATTGTAAACATGGAGAGAGGAAGACGAGCTTTGGAAAGAAAGAGATGAAAACCAGAAAGTTAAGAGGGGATGAGGCTGGCAATCAGGGTGACCAGAGTGGAATGTAGACAAGATGGACAAGATGGACAAGATGACCAGATTGACAAGTGACAGTGTTTTTGGTATTTTTTGTTTTGACAAAATGTCTCAATGATCTTAATCCAAATGATGGTGGCATGTGATGGATCCAGGCAACACAGAGAAGGTAGGACTACGAGCTCATTTGGCCATGAGGGGAAAGAGAGAAACGGGAGAAAAGTGTTTTTGGGGTAGTGTTTTTTTTATTTTTCTTCTGTGAGTCACCTGGTCTGCATTACAGGATGCTGAGGGGAAAGCAGGTGAAGAGGGAACTGCCTGAAGATGGAGCAGAGGAATCTAGTATGTTCTCTGAGCTCAGTTCCCTCCTCAGTACAATGGGGCAACAGTGTCTATGTCCCATAAATTTTACAGAATTGATTGAGAGTTTAAATAAACCAGAGGCTGGGGTATTGCATTAAGTTTCCACTAGGAAGAAACTGAGTTCTAATGGCATTAAAGTGACTTCTCACTAATTCAGCTCATTAATGTCTGAAGTTCATGTAGGAATTTGGCAAAGGATATCTTTTATGAAAATTCCTAAAAACATCCATGTTTTTGAATATCAGGATTTTTATGTGTCAATAAACCTTGTTTTCTCAAAAGATATGCCATTGATGAAACCAGTCGCATTGCAGATCTATATTTCAATCTGTGTTTTGAGACACTTGGGCAATGTTCCATATTAGACAGAAAATGTATTATTTAGTCAGACAGACTTATATTTAATTCTAGACTCTGACAATTACTTGCTATAGGGCATAACTTTGAGCATCAGTGTTTTTTAAATATAAAAATAGAACAAATTGTGAGTGACTTACAGATGTTTTATAACTGACTTACAATTGTTTTGTGAGGATCAGGTAGATCAAGTGTTTGACAAATATTTATTTACTTACACTCAAATTTACTTTTAAACTACAAAATTCTTAATATTCAGTTAATTAGGAAAAGTCCACACTGATTATAAAATTAAGAATGCAATATAGGTCTGTGGAGGGGAACTTCTAGTTTAAGCCTATGTCTTAAGGCAGTACTTGTCAAAGTGTGGTCCATAGACCCTGGGGGTCCTGAGATGTTGCTTTCAGGGGAGGTCTGCAAGGCCAAAGCTATTTTCATATTAATTCTAGGATGTTAATTTGACTTTTTTTTCCTGTTATGGTATTTGCACTAATGATACAAAAACAATGATGTGAATAACTACTAGCACCTTAGTGTGATCAAGGCAATGACACTTAGTTGTTCTAAGAGTTATTTTATTTTTTACCAACACAAATGGCAGTTCCACTTAGGAATGTCTTTGGGGAAGCAATAAAAATATCTTTCATTTAATTACATTTCAGCCATTACTATGTCTTTTTAATATTCTGTGTGGCAAAATGGGAAACACACATAAAGCCCTTCTGTGGTATACAAAAATACTTCCAGTGTTTGTCCTGAACTAAAATGCTAAGGTAATTGAGCTGTATGCTAAACTAGCTGCTTCTTTCATAAAGTATAGCTTTCCTCAGAAGAACAGCTGACAAACTAAGGTTATTTGGATCTTTATATTGCTCAGCATTTGTTTTCAAATGAAGTAAGCCTATCACTTCAAAGTAAACAATATTTATACTCAATACAAATATTTATTGCAATATTTATTTGCATTGAAAAAAACCTGAACAGCATTTAGAGAATTTGTATCTGTCACAGTGAGTTTCCAATACTTAAAGACTTTTCTAATAAGACCGTAATCATTTCAATTAATGTGGTTTTAGACATTGTACAATGAAATATATCAACATTTGGAAGATTTGCATAACACACTGAACCATTCTTTTCTAAATGACTGATAATGTATGATGTTATAAAATAATGCATGGGTTAAAGATCCATTCAAAGTACAAAATAGACCAGTGAATTTTGATGCAACACAGTATGAAAAGCTAATTGATGTGGTATCATATTTCCTATTACAATCATAAGGCTTAAGAAACTAACACTTGTTGAGTTTTGGTGTAACACTGAAGAAGAATAACCTTCAGAACTATTTGAAAAAGTTATTAAAATACTTTATTTTCCAACTATATCTCTGTGTGAAACTGGAATTTCCTCATTTACCTCAAACAAAACAACAAATTGCAACAGATTGAATACAGAAGTGATATGAGAATCCAGTTGTCTTCTATTCATTGAGACATTAAATAGATTTAAGAGAAATGTAAAACATTGCCACTTTTCTCACTAAATTATTTCC